AGAGAGGGCACCCGTACAGGGGGCACATATAGAGGAAAGGGGGCACACATAGGGGAGAGGACACCTGTAAAGGGGGCACACATAGAGAGGGCACCCGTACAGGGGGCACATATAGAGGAAAGGGGGCACACATAGGGGAGAGGGCACCTGTAAAGGGGGCACACATAGAGAGGGCACCCGTACAGGGGGCACATATAGAGGAAAGGGGGCACACATAGGGGAGAGGGCACATGTACAGGGGGCACACATAGGGGAGAGGGAACCTGTAAAGGGGGCACACATATGGGAGACTGCACAGAGGCCACACATATGGGAGAGGACACACGTACACGGGGCACCCATAGAGGAGAGGGCACCCGTAAAGGGGGCGCAGATAGGGAAGAGGGCACACGTACACGGGGCACACATAGAGGAGAGGGCACCCGTACAGAGGACCCCGGAATCAGCAGCGTGGCTTCCTCTTGCTCTCCGTGTAACGTCTGACCCCATTTCCCACGTCTCCTGTCTCCTGTTCAAATCTGAACTCTTCTCTCCACCTATCACCAAATTGACTGTTTTCTCTTCAGTTACATTAAAGTTCCCTGCGTGCCGGACTCAGCGTGGAGACAACACTCTCTGCCACCTCTCCCCACATCACTGTTAACCCTTACACTGCCACGGCATCCCTTGCGGGTCTAAAATCTGAGGAATCACCATTAAAGGAGAACTATGAGGTCAGTGTTTTTCCCCATAGTTCTCCTTAGGGTAACGGGAGGACACAAACTAGCGTCCTCCCGTCACCCAAAGCTCAGGGTATGGCGAGATATAGCTCACGCTATACTGAGACGCCGCCGCCGGGACGGATCCCAACAATTATGTCTGGATCCACCCAGCTTTCGTGAGTGACAGCTGCCTCTGCCTATCTAGAGGCAGAGCCAGCTGTACCCGCCCCCTCCCCCATCCGTTCCGCCAGTCAATGGGGGGGTGGGCGGGGGGGGGGGGGAATCCCTGCAGGGATCCATGAGCGACAGTCACGGCTCTCTGCAGGGATAGATCGATAAGTGAGCGAGGGGTGACAGTTTCATTGTCACAGGTCGGATCAGATTATGGGGCGAGTGAAAACCACTCACCTCATAATTCTCCTTTAAAACAAAAATCGCTTTCCCCCTCAGCCGCTGGGTGACTCTACAAGGGGG